AAATCAGCAAGCCATTTCTTAAAGTTAAAAGTTCTTAAGCAAAGATGTCAATCTTAAGGAAAGATTTTCTGGTTTTGATTAATGATTCCTTTCTACTTTGAAGGTGTATTAATTTTCCAGTCACAATAAATTTAAATAAAGTCATTGTTTAAGAATTAACTGCCATTCTCATTGTGTTTCAGATTAAATTTCATTTTAAACTAGGATATAACTTGGTGATTTAGTACCACAGGGAATATGTATTTGTAGATTACCGTATTTTCACCCATATAACCCGCCCACGCAAATACCCCGCCCACGCATATAACCCGCAGGGGGGCGCTGTGCATGTAAAAACCGCATATAACCCGCGGGTTATATGGGTGAAAATACGGTAATCTACAAATACATATTCCCTGTGGTACTAAATCAGCAAGTTATTATCTAGTTTAAAATGAAATTTAATCTGAAACAAAATGAGAATGGCAGTTATATCTTAAACAATGACTTTATTTAAATTTATTGTGACTGGAAAATTAATACACCTTCAAAGTAGAAAGGAATCATTAATCAAAACCAGAAAATCTTTCCTTAAGATTGACATCTTTGCTTAAGAACTTTTAACTTTAAGAAATGGCTTGAAGAAAGAAGTTAAAAATAAATAACTGGTTTTTTAAATCTCTCTTCTAGGTAAGTTTGTAGAAAACATTACTAAATGTAAAGTAATTAAACACATTGAACACATAAAATAAAGAGTCTTCTTAAGGAATTTTTTTTTTCTGCAAAACAAGTTACATTTGTTGTAAAGTTCTTTGCTAAGATCAGCAAGCATGTGATAAGTGGGGATCTTCTTTCTAGACTAGTGTCTGAATGTCACTGGAGGATGAAAGCCATGTTAGTCTGAAACTAGTTTCTAAAGCTTATGCCTTTAAAAATGTGTCAGTTGGAAAAAGTGCTGCCAGATTCTTTCTGATAGTCTGAAGAATAGTAAACCATATGTGACCAAAGGGGTCTTTGAAAACCCACATTCTTAACATGTTAAATGCAAGAAATAAGGCAGCCAATAATTTGGATGACAAAAATTGTTTAGAACAATAAGCAAAGGATTCCAGAATACAGAAAAACAGAGTTGAAAAGGTCTTCTAGTCCAATCCCCTACTCAAGCAGGAGATCCTATGCCCGTGGTGGCAAACCTATGGCATGCGTGCATACAGAGCCATCTCTCCGGACATGCGAGCTGTCGCCCACTGCTCTTCCGGAGCGCATATACGCACCAGCCAGCTGGTCTTCACGTACATCAGAAACCAGAACAACTGCTGGCCTGTATGCATGTACGCGCCAAAAACCGGAATATCATCTTCGCACCACACACAAGGTGGCTGCTCTTCCTGTTTCCGCACGCGCATGCACACTGGCCAGCTGGTCTTCGTGCACCAGAAACTGGAAGACCAGGTAGTCAGTGTGCATGCACGCACTGGAAATCAGAACATAATGCACACCGGGCAGCTGCTCTTCCAATTTCAGGCACAAGCACATACTCCTATTTTGGCACTTGGTGCTGAAAAGGTTTGCCAACACTGCCCTATGCCATTCCAGAAAAATGCTGTCCAATCTCTTCTTAAAAACCTCCAGTGATGGAGCATCACAACTTCTGGAGGCAAGCTGGTCAACTGATTAATAGTAGATCCAAATTAGAGGAAAAGGAACTAAGATGAAATGCAAGTAAGGATAAAGACTTTCATATTAGAGGAGAAACACCTTAAACCTCCTACAACTGATAGTGTCTGATCTGGTGATGGCTAATCAGAAAAAAGATATTAGGTTTGTGGTAGATGACTTGATGCAGATGACAGTACAGGTACAGTGTTTCCCCCAAAATACGACATGTCCTCATAATAAGGCCATGCCACATTTTTCTGGTGGGCAAAAATATAAGCCCTCCCCCGCAAATAAGCCCCCTGGACTTACCTAAAGACCCACCTCCGGCCAGGCAGAACGCTGCTCACCAAGCTAGCAGTATCCCGAAGGTGCCAAGCCACGGGAACCAGGGGGAGGCAAAGGTGATTGTGTTGCTTGGTGCCTTTGGGATACCGCTAAGTTGGTGAGCAGCGCTGTGCCCAGCTGAAGAGGGAGGTTGCCGGCCGGCTGCTCTCTTGCAAGCAGGCTCCCAAAGAGCCGAACACAGCCTCAGGGGCTAATGGCTGTGCTGCCCGGCTCCCACAGGTTGCCACCTTCGAAATGCCAGTGAATGGCACTCTGCATGGCTGGAGAGGGGGGTTGCACGAGCGGCTGTTCCGCTCTCGTTCACGCACCTCCCAGCCTCATGATGCCCTAGCCCAGCTCTCCCTGCAGAGCCAGGGCACCTCTGCTGCCGCTATCCCAGCATGGCTTTTTTGGCGGCTTCCAAACCAAGTCGTCCAGCAGTGGCCACTCTGGATATACGCTCTATGGTTGTGGGCCAGCTGCCAGCAGGACATACAACCATAGAGTGTACGCCCAGAGCAGCCACTGCTGGACCAGTTTGGAAGCCGCTGAAAAAGCCATGCTGGGATGGCGGTGGCAGCGGCAGCGGAGGTGCCCCTGGCTCTGCAGGGAGAGCTGGGCCAGGACATTGTGAGTCTGGGAGGCGCATGAGTGAGAGCGGAACAGCCGCTCGCGCAACCCCCCTCTCCAGCCATTCAGAGCGCATTCACTGGCATTTTGAAGGTGGCAAGCTGCGGGAGCCGGGCGGCGGCAAACAGGCGCTCATGCGGCTTGGCGATACCCCTAGGTCAGTGAATGGCGCTGTGCCCAGCTGGTAAGGGGGTTTGCCAGGTGGCTTCTTGTGAGCGTGGTTACTTCATGGCTGTTGTGTTGCACTGCTGCGACAGCGCAACACAGCCATTCACCCATGAGGCTGTGTCCGGCTCTTTGGGAGCCTGCTCGCAAGAGAGCAGCTGCCCGCCAACCCCAAAACAATAACCCCCCCCCTCATAATAAGCCCCAAGCCATATTTTGTGGGTAAACTTATTTTCGGGAAACACGGTACTATTATGTAAATGGGTTTTTTGTAGATCATTGCAAAATAAACCTATAATAACAAATTTTGTAACATATTATAATTCCATGATTCAACAATAATATTGTTTACAGCTTTGGTTACACAACTTCCAAAATACTATGTCAAAATAGGGCCAACATAGTTGTTTAGACCTAGATGGAGCAACTATGCAAGGAAGAAAATAAATGAGAAAATAAAAGACGCTCAGTATATAGATACAAGAATCATGCATGTTGAAAAGAAATTGAATAATCCCCAGAAGACAGTAAGCATGTTTGCCAATCAGGCACTTGGGGACCTAGATTAAAATGTCTACTCTATTAATCAAAAGACTTCTTTAAAAACAATGTATCAAATTTATATTGTCCAACTCACAGATACTGTTTTAGAAAGGCAGGTTTGAGGCACTTTCCTTGCACAAACATCTTCTGTAAGAAATGTGGATTAAAGCAGTGTTTTTCAACCACTGTGCCGCGGCACACTAGTGTGCCGTGACATAGTGTAAGTAAGGTGTGCCGTGGGAAAAACACTTTATATATAGTCAATATAGGCACAGAGTTAAATTTTTTTAACATTTTCTAATGGTGGTGTGCCT